GGGGTTGACCCCGGCTTACCCCGCGCTATTATCGCGATTGTCGCGTCGGAGCCCCCCGCATCCGCGAACCAGTGAGGCTGGTCCGGGACACGGTAGGGCTCCGCTACCACCCCTAGAGAACAGTCCCACTCGGCGAGGATGTGGAGCAGTAGGTCCTGCGCCCCCGCCGAGTGGTTCACGTTAGCGTGTATAATGGGGCTCAGCGGCCCCATCACGCGGTCTCCTCAGCAGCCACCTCCATGGCGTCCTCACTCTGCGACTCAGGTTGAGCCATATCTGTACTCGCGCCCGCGTCCACGCCCGCGTCAACCGTTTGCATCGGAATATTCCCCGCAGGTTCCCCCGTTTTGGATACGTTACCGCCCTCGTTCTTCTTTTTCTTTGATGGGGCCGGCGCGCAAGCTGCCGTTCCCAATCTGTGTGCCGCCGGTCTGCCCAGATCTGAACATAGTGGGCAATTCAGCTTCTCCGTGCACTTTGCTGCTATGTAATCAGTGCCACCACAGGCGTAACATCGTCCTTTCCTTATGACTTCACTTTCGCATCTTGCTGCCACGTGCCCCTTTTGCAGGCATCGAAAACAATGTTTTGGTCGCGCTTCGAGAACATCCACTCTCGCGAATGACCATCCCACGTTAATCCTTCTTGCAGCTTCGGCCTTCCTGGCCACCGCAACTGGGTACCGGATCCAGACGGTTCCCATAGTGGTGGGAGTTCTGCGAATGTTCCTCACCTTGATCTCCGCCGGTCTGACCTGCCCTAAGGAGGCCAGCGCATCCGCCACATCCTTCGGCTCTATAGAGTCGTCCAACCCCAGCAATCGTATTTCGGCCGTCTGCACGGGGTTGGCGACTCTAACCTCGTTTTCATCAAAGGCGCCCTTCAGCTTTTCCGCTACTTTCTCGGCTTTCCCCTTTGATTGCTCTCCGGGGATGCCGAGAATCAATCCCCCGGTGGCTGCCTTGCAAAGCCGGAACTCTTTAATCTCCAGCCTCTTCAGCTCTTTCTTGCCAACCGTGTCCATCACCGTTTTTATAACTTGGGAGTACGTCCTTTCAACTCCCGGGAGTACCGACAAAGTGACGGCGGCCGTCCTGGGTGGTCGAGGCACCTTCGGCTTAGTCGTCTTCGCTGGAGCCGGCTTGTTAGGAGTGGTTCCCGCGCCCTTCTTTGCCGCCTTGCCTGCGGTCTTGTAAACGTGAGTTTGTTTATTTAGATGCGCCCGGAGACGGGCGTTGCTTCTACGAATTATGTCGTTATATTTTCTATGAATTCTGTCTGGTTTAAGCCCAGCTTGGGCTTCTCAGTAAAAATAAAAGTACTTTAATCTATGAATGATTTAAATGGAGGGTTCGGGCCTCCAGGTACTGGATAGCGGAGTGGTCTGACTGGTCGTTAAAGAAAGTTAGAAACCTCTTTCGTTTATAATTAACATAAGACAATATATATATATTCTGCAAATCCAACACATACATACACGTATATCCAACAATAAGAGTTTTGTTCATTTATCGCAATATTAAATCGCACGCATAAAAAACATATTTACTAATTTTGTAAGACAATTTTTGTTTCGTTCAATTTAATGATTTTCAATGAGTCGCCGCTCGAAGACGCGAAAGGAAAGTAATGCTTTACGTGAAATCTCAATTGGTTATTTGTATGTATGTTTAAATTGGCGGTTGGAGTCAATGCCTGGGTGAATAGCACGTTTGAGGATTGTCGCAGCACCTTTTACACTCGGCCGATATATCGGAGGAGATGTTCCGGTGGAGACTCGTACGAAGTCGTGATCAGGTTGAGACACCTAGGAGTTCGTCTAGAGGAGTTTGTTGGGGCTCGAGACTTGCTCTGATGCCGGACGCCTGATTCCAACAGTACTGATCCGATCGTGTAATTCGCGACGCGAATAGTACAGTAACACACAAATTG